CCAGGAATCTGCATTTTTAGCAAACCCTATAGGCACTAATCACAAACACGAAAGATAGAGAACTACTGGTCTAAGAGCTAAAGACATATAAAACAATGTCATTAAACAACAATAATCTCCTTCCAGAAAAAAAACAACTATTTTAATAGTCATTTGAAAACATTCATTATTTTCTTTTTTCATTATCTAATCATAAACTGAATATCAAGGTTGAATTAAGAGTTGGGGCATATTACAGTATTTAAAGCTTAACAATAGATTGGAGCAGTTTTAATTAAAGTTACCAGGACAGCCAGAGGGAGACAGGATACACCATAATTGGAAAAGTGTCACTAGAAAAATGTGTTTATTATAACCTTGATCCTATTTTCTTTAGCAAAATGTCTAGAGACCTTCATTAACTCAGCAGATCCCCTTGGCTATGCTGGTAGATGAACAATAAGACTACTTATTTGATTCACCTCCATCTTTCAGGAGACACCATTGGAGGCTAGACTGCTTTGTTGAAAAGCTTTCTCTATGAAATGTTCATTAACACTTGCAGATTTTTCAGCCTAGTGCAAGCTGAAATAAATGTTAATAACGATGTTAAATGACTGTTTCTTTTTTGCTTCTAAACATTGATTTGAGATTGCTTAAGATTAAACCAACAATGTTAGCAGAATAATTACTGTATTGAGGCAGTTTGCAAGACATAAGCATAGCAAGAAAAATAGTCAGAAAAATAGTCATTTAGGAAATACATCTTGTAAATAAAATGTCTAAAATTACCAGTGTGGACTTTGAGATAAAAAAGCTGGACTCATAAACAGACTCCTAAAATTAAATTCCACCACAACCTCCTGTTATCTATAGGAGTCTTGAACAAGAACCCTAGTCTTTTCTGAATTTCCTCATTTATAAAACAAGAATGAACAGATGTTTAAGGTGCCTATTTCATAGGAGTTCTGTAAGAATCTAATGTACATCAACCACCAGAATCATAACTTATTTTTATTAGTCATGAAAACAAAACCAAAAAATGACTTAAGTGCAAAATCCGTTTCAATATAAAAGAGGTAGTTTTATGGCAAAAACAACAAAATTTTCATTCTGATTTCTCTTTCAGCGCTTTCTAAGGTTTATTGATGGAGCAGATCAAAAGATCATAGTACAATATGAGCATGAGTAAGAAGTGAAAATAAATGCTGAAATTGAAAAAAATATTGGTAGAAGTAGTTTTGAGTCAAACATAGAAACAACTGCAAGATAAGCATGAGGCAATAAAATAAATTGTGATTTTATTTTTAATCAACAGGCTATAAAAGACAATTAAAAATGTAATGTTCAAATACATAAAATCAGTATACATGCAGGCATAATAAAATTTATCAAAGACATTATAATTAGTCCACTAAAAAAAAAAGAAAACACCTCCAGTTGTTCATTTCCTTTAAAAAAAAAAAACTAAATTATATAAACTCCTAGGGAATTTTCTTAGTAGATAGGAAAACAAACAGTTCAATTGACTTCTTTATCATAGATTTTACATCTATATTCCAGGGTATTTTATGTTGATAATTTTGATACTTAAAAATAAACATTTAAATTTTTTCAAACTCAAATAAAAGTAAAAATTTTTGAATAATGTGTATTTTATTTCATTAAACCTTTTTAAAGTATCAGTCATTTCTTTACTTGATAATTTATATTTTAGCAAGATATTTTTCTAGAACGCTTCAAGACAGGACATTGTAAGCCCATTAATTTCATGATCATATTTCTAATACATGTGTCCACAGTGTGTATATGTTAAAAGAACCATTGATACTTGCCAAATAAATATATAATATATATAAATCTCTACCTGTATCTACAACCCTATTTGACTATAGATTGAATCTCTCTGTAGTTATATTTAATCTTAAAATCCCTCCAACTCTCTTTTCCTTTGGATGCTTCCTATTCCTTATCTCTTTTTTTATCTTTTTATTAAATTTATTTGGATGACATTGGTTAATAAAATTATAAAAGTTTCAGGTGTTCAATAATACATTGTATATTATAGTGTGTGTTCACCACCCCTAGTCAAGTCCCCTTCCATCCCCCTTTTTTGAAGAGAACTAACTGATATAGGATTCACTGAAAAATTCATAACCTTCCAGAATATTCTATTAACTGAAACATAACTCTTAATCTGAATGAACGATAATTTACAGCATACTACCCAACCCTCATTTATTCCTCATTATGATTATACACTTCTTCAGGCCAAATGATATGTATGTATAATCAATAAAAATGCTGATCTTAAAGTCAGACACACCTGATTCCGAATCCTCTCACATTCTGGCTACTCAGAGTATAGTCTTTGTACCAGGAGCATCAATAGCATCTGGGAACTAATTAGATTTGCAGTATCTCTATCCAGATGACTTAATAAAAATCTGCATTTTAATAAGAGCCACAGGTAAACTATATGTACATTAAAGTTTGAGATGCATGGGCAGTGCTTATTTAATATGTTTCCTTGAGCAAGTTAAAAATATCCTCAGAATGCACTTTCCTCTTGAAAAATGAGACTAATAATGATGTCTAGAGTTTGGTATTATTGTAAGAAATAATTAGATAATGCTACTTGGTAAACACTCAATAACGTGAACTAGTATTAAATTTTATCATCTACCTCAAATTTGTATATTCATAACTTTTCCAATACATTTATTTATTAAATAACATTGGTATCCCACACAGGTAAATTTGAACAGCTCCTTTAATCCAGAAGTCTCCCTGAGTATAAGCCCACAACAAAAATAGAGGTAAAGTCATAATGTCATCTTGCATTCATTTACAGGAACATGTAGCCTCAAAATATTTTTTAAAATAATGTGTTTTTTATTTTTGTGGAATCAAAAACCTTGAATGAATGAACATAAATGTTTCTCCCTGACATAAAATCTAACTAATTCTACATTTACTTTAGGCATCATATTTTCTACATCCTGCCACTGTGCACTTCAGACAGACACTGATCCCCCACAGGACTTAAGTCATGCACCAGGTGTCTAGACCATCAAATCCAACCGATTAAGAAAAATAAAGTCTCAGTAGGCTTCCCCTTTAATCCAATTAAGGCAAGATTCATTCTATTTCATTTCATTTTTCAAGGGACTTTCATGTCCAGATTTCCTGCTCCCTACAACTGGGGGGGAAATGTAAGCTGATAAAAATAAATACAAATGGAATCATTTTCAGTTGCCATTAAGTGAATATTAATCACTTAAGTAAAGAGCATCTCATTTTTGTTAGAAAAACTTTTATTGAAAACACATACATCTATAAAGATACCTAAAAATGGTATCACATACCCCCAATTGAATCTTCTAGTCATGAAAAATTATCTTATCATAAATCACTCACTTATATATGTCTTAAAAATTAAATGTTTTAACTGTTAATTTAAGTTAAAAGTTTAAATATTAATTTTAATATTGCATATCAAATATTCCAAAGAACCCTCCTGTTACATTCCAACAAGACCCTGGATATTTTAAGAAACATGAAGATTTATGGCTGCCAAAAAATTAAAGGGAAATTTCTGTACCCAGATACATATATTGTAAGCTAAAACTCTGAACTATGAATGATAAGTGAAGAGAAAATGCTGACCTGAGACAAATACTTGCAATAGTGCTGAGATTTGTAGAATAAAATGGATGAAACTTAAGCTCTGGCATTATATCTAACAAAAGGTATATAATAATGTTATGAAAAAATTTAAAACTTTATGAATGGCATAAAAATTTGCTAAATGAAAACAGTATCATGATTATAGAAAGACAAAAATCATAATGATAACAATTCTTCGCAATTTTGTCTGAGTCCATGCAATACCAATCAAAATCCAGTAAAGATCTTCATGAATAATAATATGCTGAATCTAAAGTTTGGAAAATTTGTAAAAGTTCAAGAATACTCTGCAGTTCATGATCCTACTGAAGAAGAATATGATGAGAAACTGGCCGACCAGACATCTAGCTTGATATTTGGAGCTCACCGAGGGAAAGCAAGCTATGTAATAAATGGCCCTGGGAAAACTGGTTAGAAAAATTGCAGACTAAAATTATAGGCAAATATTGATTGCAGGTAGATTAAATAAATCTAAAAGACCTAGAACCTTTTAAAATAAAATATATAAAATAATGTTTATAACCTACGAGTAGGGAAGGATTTCTTAAACAAAGCACATATCCAAAAATATTAATAATTTTTAAAGTTGACTTCAAAATAATTTCATAAGTATTTTGATAACTTATATTATCAAAATACACTATAAAGACAATGAAAAGACAAGTCACATTTACCAACAGATAATAAATGAATAAATTGAGATATATCCTCATAAAGTAATATTTAACTGTGAATAAAAATAAAGCTAAGTACAAACATCCAGATAAATCATGCAAACATAATGCTGATGGAAGAAAGTCGCTGAGAACTATGTGCACAAAATGTGATTTTAATAAAGGTGATAAACAAGCAAACTAGCAAATACGTTCTTTAGCAAAACATTTAGGTGAGGTAGAGCTATTTTTAAACAGCAAAGAAATAAGTAATCAAATACCTAGAGTACTGGCCACATCTGGCAGGGATGCAGGGCGAGGGGACAGGAGAGTACTACAAAGGCAGCTCTAAGGTTGTTGGCAGTATTCGTGGGTTGTATGTTGCGTGATACACTTAATTATCATTATGCATCGTGACTTATATACATATTAACGGATGCATATACCAATTAAATATACTGTTCCTGTATATTAAAATCACCTAACACAGACATAAACTAATAGGCTAACTGATTATTTTAAAAATGCAATGAAACCATGGTATCTCACCTTTCTTGAACATATTAGATGAACAGTTTCCATGGTAAAGAAAGCATACTAAAGAAAACCTCCAGATGAAGCATGAAAAATAATAAGTAACAGAAAATAATAAAATGAGCAGACCCAATTTAAACTCACCACCAAGGCTTTAGATCTGTTGCTTAGAAGTTTTTCAATATCCCGGGCTGCAATTTCCACCAGCTGGCGTGCGTTATTTGGTTCCACAGTATACAATTCTTGGTATTTCTCATAAATCTGCATGAAGGCAAAAGGAAGTTATTAAGAACAATAACTGCTTATTTGGTTCATAAGTTCATATTAGGATGTATTTAAAAATCATAAACAATGGATTAGTAAAACCCACCCTTTTCTTTCTATACCTTGATCTTTTCAAAATTCAGGCATGTCAAAAATAAAGATATAAATATTAGTTTGCTGTAAGACCATCAGTTCAACAAAATAGTACATCAACAGTAAAACATTTTGTACAAAAATGGTTTTTATATGCAATTTTGTGACTTGAAATTGTATATTCAACCTCAAAACCTGGTATTAACTGCTATCAGCATGTTTTTTTAAAGGCAGGCCATTCTAGAAAACCAGAGAACTGAGGTATAGGAGGTCAAACCTGAAGGATGTGTGCAGTGCATGAAGGTACGACAGAGGGAGAAATGATAATATATTTAGAGAGACTTCCCATTGTTTTCCCTCGCTGTAACCACTGAGGCTAAAGTGCTTGCTGCTGACCCTTATTAAGTGAAAGGAAGAGAGAGAATGAATGAATGAATATGAAGCCCCGGCTAAGGTTCATCCAGGTGACACAGGGAGCTTCTTTCACAGAGAAGCAGTTGAACATCATGGAGGTCTACATTAAAGCTTAGTTAAAACTGTAACTGTGTAAATATTTTTATTATCAAACTGAATGTTTTGTTTTGTTTTTAAATCACTGGATCAAACTATACTGAAAGTAAGCTAGGCAGCCAAAGAAAAACTCAACTGCATTTATGGCTCACATCAGTGTCAATGGAAGGATTTCCCTAGCGTGGCATCAGATGCACCTGGTTTGCAGAGCCTGTACACTCCTGGAAGGAAAGGAAGAAATTAAAGGAAGGGGGAGGGGGAGAACCAGCAACCACGTCCATGGCTGGAGGGCTGAGGCGAGAAGGAAATCCCTTATGCATCCAACAGATGGGTTGCACATGCATGACTAAACCATCTTTGAAAGCCAGGGCCTGGCAGTTTTTTACCATTTTATAAAAAGAGAATCCAGGCACATGCAGGAACCAGTTCAACCCTGTTTTTCTGGCACAACTCCAGCATTCTGTTACTACCAACAAGTTCTACAGCCTGGTCCCAGCTGAGCATGGATGCTACTGGTGAACACTGTTACAAATAGACACAGATACATATGCTACCATTTATTTCTAACAGAGTATGTTAGTTTTACATAAAGTTAATTTTTATAAGTGATAAAAATAGTTTTAAAAGATTTAAATCAAACTTTTACTACTAAAATTGTTTGATATATTCAGAACATGAGGTTTTTCACACACTCATCTGAATTTTGATCTTGTAGGTTTTCATTCCAACTATTCAAGCCACAGTAACTTAGTCATATACGATCCCCATATTTAGTTTCATCTGGGATTCCTGCACAGTACTGGATTGCTTGTGCTTTCCTCTGCAGGGCAGATTATTGAGCTCTACTCTAAAGACCCAGGTTATCTATGATGAAATCCATCCAACTTGAGGCTCCCTCTTTCATGTCAGCCTAAGATGACATCCGGAAGCATGACCTCCTCAATAGATTAATTGATTAGGGTACAAAAAGATAAACCTCAACATCACTTTAATTGATCCAGGATATTTCGTTCTTTGCAGTAAAACCAATACAGCTAATTGGTATGAAGGCAGCTGTGCTTTGAAGCATTAATATCTTTTTTTTTTTCTGTATGAAGTCTAACCTCCTTCCTGTGGTATAGGGACTACAATATAAGTCAGAGTTGAAGATTAGCTCAGGATGCATAGTCTGTACTTTGCATTATGTACTGTAAGTAATGTCATTTATTAAATCACTGCCTACATATGCCAGAAACATTATAGCTACTTTAAAGAATGAATAGAATGTAAATCAGAAGAAAAAAAACTTAGTTCACATTTTCCCTCAAATTTATATAAATTTTTCTCTCAAATTCTGTTTCTAGGGACATTTTTAAATACTTAGAAGGTTAAAAAAAAAGATCTACCTTGCAAATAGACTTTAAATAAGTGAAGTTAAGAAAGCTTAAGTCTCCATCTCCAATGTAAACATCCTGCTGTGCTTTTTATGTATAAAACATCTGAAATGTTTTCCTGGTAATAAAAATGAATGTAAAGCATATAGCTGCCCCACCAATAGAACTAACTCTTGCTTCTGGTTTTAAAGAATACAATATTCTTTGTTTCATGAAGTTTCAGAAGGCTCTCAAAAAAGTCTACTGGTATATGTTTTATAAACACTTCTAAAAGTAGAAAGTTTCACATGGGTTTTTAAATTATTTTCATAGTGAACGCAAATTTATACTGCTTTCTGCCACTAAAATAAACCACATTTCTACAACATTCCACATGTTAACATATTACTATTTTAAAGAATCTTAAGTATCTTTCCTTTTCCTCTTTCTAGTACTTTTTTTTCCTTTAAAAAAAAAAATACCTGCTTTATCATTTTATCCAATGTCCTTCCTGAAAGAATAAAACCATGGTAGCAATAATAGGAGTTTTTGGTACCAAACAGAATTTCATTCAAATCACATGTCAACATCTCACATGCTAAGTGACACTGGCTGCCACTTCTGCTGGAAAGAAGGCAGCACAGAAAGAGACTCCAAGATAGGATGTTTTTCCCTTCTGACTGATACGCGAATATTCTTTAAATTTACTGTAGTTCAAAGCCTCTCCCTGCCATCCTTGACACAAGTTTTGACAAAAGAGTACTTGTCACCCATATATTCGTTCTTTCTTACAATCTTAATTAATTAACTGGGTTTAATGTACTTTCACTATTACACTTACAAAGATCTGTGATGACGACAACAGAGAATATGGTTCCCCTACCTTTTTCAGTGGAAGCTTCTTCCTAAGTCTCTTTGCTCTAATTAAATTAATAGTTTCAAGATAATCTTCAGAATAATACATTTACGATAACCTCAAATGTAGTATCTATGCTTGGCTTTGCCTGGAAATTTCCAAGCCCAGCGCAAGTGGCAGCTATCTCAGATTGCTTTAGAGCTCATGCAGGGTGGCCCCAGGGAGAACATTGGTGGGGGCTGACCTTGATCTACACCAGCCAGGAAACCCCAGAGCCTGCGCACCCACTGGACAGCTACAGGCCACGTTGGAGCACCACCACGCTGCGCCTGCACAGCTGATCCTTCACAGCGGTCAGAGATTAGTGGTCAGTGGTCACAGCCATTCCTTGCATCTGATTGGCCTGGGTAAATTCCTCCCATTGACCTGCAAACAGCAATCAAGGCTCAACTAAAAGAAGAGGGTGTACTCGGCCGACACAAGAGCACACCTTGATTACCTAGCTTGGGTGATAGGGAAGGCTCTACCACTGGACCCCACAGGACACCTACAACATTAGGCCATAATACCAAGATGGGAAGTAATAGCAGCTCTTCCTACTACACAGGAACAAACACAGGGAGGCTGCCAAAGTGAGCAGACAAAGAAACATGGCCTAAATGAAAGAAGGATCAAAACCCCAGAAAAAAGAATAAAACAAAATAGAGATAAGCAATCTATCAGATGCAGAGCTCAAAACACTGGTTATATCTATGCTCAAGGAACTTAGTGAGGACTACAACAGCATAAAAATGATTCAGCCACAAATGAAGGATACACTAATTGAAATAAAGAACAATTTACAGGGAAACCACAATAGAGTGGATGAAGCTGAGAATCACATCAATGATTTGAAACAAAAGGAGGCAAAAAACAACCAATCAGACAACAAGAAAAAAAAGAATCCAAAAAAATGAGGATAGAATAAGTAGTCTTTGGGACAACTTCAAGCGCTCCAACATTTTCTTCACAGAGGGGTCAGAAAGAGGAGAGAAAGAGCAAGAAATTGGAAATCTATTTGAAAAAAATAATGAAAGTAAACTTTCCTAATTTAATAAGGAAGTAGATATGTAAGTCCAGAAAGCCCAGAAAGTCCCAAACAAGACGGATGATGCAAAGAGACCCACTCCAAGACACATCATGATTAAAATGCCAAGGTTAAAGAAAAAGAGAGAATCTTAAAAGCAGCAAGAGAAAAGCAGTTAGTTACCTACAGGGGAGTTCCCATAAGACTGTCAGCTGATTTCTCAAAAGAAATTTTACAAGCTAGGAGGGATTGGCAAGAAATTTTCAAAATCACAAAAAGCAGGGAACTACAACCAAAATTGCTCTACCCAGCATAGCTATCATTTAGAATCAAAGGACAGCTAAAAGCTTCCTAGACAAGAAAAAACTAAAGGAGTTCATCATCACCAAAACATTATTATATGAAATGCTAAAGGGACTTATTTAAGAAAAAGAAGACCAAAACTATGAACAATAAAATGGCAATAAATACTTATCTATCAACAACTAAATCTAAAAAACAAACTAAGAAAACATGAAGAACAGAGACAGAATCATAGACACGGAGAGCATTTTGATGGTTGCCAGATGGGAGGGTGGTGTAGGGTAATGGATTAAAAGGTGATGGGATCAAGAAGTACAAATATGTAGTTACAGAATATCCACGGGGATGTAAAGTACAGTATAGGAAATGGAGTAAAGAACTTATATGCACAGCCCCTGGACATGAACAATGGTGTGGGGATTGCCTGAAGGACAGAGGGGTGCTGGGTGGAGGAGGGCAAAGGGGAAAAAATTGGGGACAACTGTAATAGCATAATCAATAAAACATAATTTAAAAATGTACTATCTAAAAGGTGATACCACTCATTAAAATAATTAATAAATATAACTAAAAATGTTTCAGAAATCATTGTACTCGGTATTATGCCATAATACAGTTACCCCAGAGATGCACACTGAAAGCTAGATATACTTCCAAGTTTTCAATGACATAGCAGATTATATTAGCAATCATTGTCAGGCAGCTTCTCTATACCAGTCACTTTAAGAAACCTTAAAAAAATACAATTAGTCACCGTCCTAGTGTGAACACTGGGATTCAGGCTTTAGAATATCAGAGTGGAGGGAGTTTTAGTCCC